TTAAGAGTTTGTACTGTACTTATATTATTTATACTGTCCAATCTGAGTGGTAGTTTTGCTGAGATCATACAAACAAGGTAACTAAGTATGAGATCATTCAGAAAAGTGGCTTGCAAAGGAGAAAATTCTTGCTAAGCCAAGATTGTTCCTCCAAATATTATCCATAATAAGAGAGGAAATGCAAACAAATACAATAAAAGCATGCAGCTAATGTTCATAATATGATTTTTATAAAGTTGTCTCAAGTATTGATGGAGCCCTTTTAATGCATAACCAAATTACCTGTTGAACAGATGTAGGTTGCAGACTAATTTTCTCCCATGAGTATCAGAATCTTTTAAAAATGCAGTACACCAAAGGTATATGAGACTAGAAGGATTTGTCAGTTCTCTTATTGAACCCTAAGAAAATGCCAAATCGTGAGACTTGAAAAGTGAAGAAAAAATATGAAGGGCTGGTAGATTTATCAGCTTGTGTGTTGCAACATTCTCCCTAAGAAGCCTAGGCAAAAATGAAATGAAGGGAAGAAAGCGCTGTGAACCATGATGAAGATGATTAAAGAGAGTACAGAGCAGCTGTCAAAGCAAATATCAAGCAACATTAATAACTTTATAGCTCACCCTGAGACTGTCTCAAATATTTCCAAGAAAACAGAAGCTTTGCTGCTGCACAGGGTAAGTGGCACTAATCATTGAGTGCAGCCCCCTAGGGACCACATTCTGTTCTCAGACACTCCACTTAAATCCTGAGCAGATGCATAGATTTTAAGGCAGTTACTGATTGTGGATTTTCACTGCTAACTGAGAACAGAGTTTGGTCCTGAGAATTTTGCTTATTAGCTGAGTCGATCTGCGTGGAAACCCTCCCATACACACCCACACTGAAGTAGTCACAGAGTCTTGAAAAAAGTGAAACTTTTTCATTTTTGTCTCAATTTTTTTCTTACATACGGGAATGTAAATTTTCTGAGGTAGGAAAAAAAGTACATTTGGTGAAAAAAGCTCATTTTTGAAGCAACTAGTGATATTATCCCCCTTCCCTTTCATACAAATTCATGAACATTTATGCTTTTGGCCAAAGGATATAATTTGGCCAGTTTTCTCTGAGAGAAGCTGCGAGCAAATGCCTCTTCTCAGAATCTCGTGGAGGATCTTGTTTCTGATCTTCTGTTCTCTCCGCAGGCTGGAACTCCCTAGTCAGTATTTTAGGACATTTTTCTTTTGATCAAATTTGTTACATTCAAAGGATCATGGCATGTGGTCCCAGGAGTAGGTCCAAAATCAGACAGGAGTTCTGTTAAACATCTTGGCACTAGAATAGGTGAAGCAGTTTATAAATGTCTCTGACTGATGTTCCCATAAGCTACTATATTCTTCACCTGAAGCCAGTAATCAATATAAGCAAATTCCCTGCTCATATTTACCATGCCTATCTAATACCATTCTATATCATACAAGACCTAATTTTGTCATAGGAATGTTCTTAGATTGTAAATTCTTAGGGACAGGGACTGTTTGTGTTTCATGTTGTACAAATACAAGGGGCTGTATTTGTATTGCATCCCATACAAAGGCACCCTAGGCCTGATTAGTTACTTTGGGTATTAAAAAAAGAAAATAATAATAATAATAATGATGCTTGATTCTAATTTCTATTGATCTTACTGGACTATTCCTGATTTGTACCTATCTGGGATCAGAGTCAAACCCAATATCTTCATTTCTTTAATTATTCCCCCTCTCTTGACTCAACGCTTCCCCATTGCCAGCTAGTAAAATCATGTGCACAGTAGAACTGTCTGCAAATGGACAATATTTGCAAGTATTTATATACAGGTATTTGTTGTGAGGGTGGAATTCAGTCATTTCCAATAGGAGAAAAACAAATCAAAATTGTTTTCTCAGATCTGCATAATATCTCCTCACTTGGATATTTTGATCTCCCTACATGTGTGGATCTCTTTATTGACTGGTCATAAGGCTCACCCTGAAAATGATCTTATTTGGTTTTCACTGACATTTTCAAAGGCAGGAAAGAAATTCACACCTTTTTTGTAGTGATTGCTCGGCTCTTGTGGATCAAATCTCACTTTCCAAAAGGCAGGTTTCGTTACTGCTGATGTGTTTCCCCTTCACTCAGGCTACATCTACACTACGGGGGGGGGGTCAATTTAAGATACGCAAATTCAGCTACGTATCGCAGCCGACTTACCCCGCTGTAGGGACGGCGGCAAAATCGACCTCTGTGGCTTCCCGTCGACGGCGCTTACTGCCACCTCCGCTGGTGGAGTAAGAGCGTCGATCCCCGAGAGGTCGATTTCTACCCGCCGATTCAGGCAGGTAGTGTAGACCCAGCCTTAGACTGATCAGTGAGGTTTGTTGATGTAAGAATCAGATTGGAAGAGATTCTTTAAAAAACAACAACTAATTTTTCCAAAGGTTCCAAAAAGTTGCATTTTTTTCTGAGTTTCCCTCAGCTTCATGTTAATGATTTTAGAGTTTGTGGGAGTGTCAGCTAGAACCAACTACGCCTGAATGAGCTACACCAGCACCAAATGAGCCTAATAAAGCTTCTTCTGGCCTTGTAAGATGGGAGTTCAAATCAGCATGTATCTGCAATGAGAAATTCACTCTCTCATGGATCCACGTAGGGTGATTACTTGGATATATAGACACGATCAAAGGGGAGGATGCCCATGAGATTCATTAGGACAGAATTCGGTTACAGTAGAGAAAAATTACTATCTGCGATCAAAGCTTGGCAATGTGGAAAATCAGAAGGGTTAGTAATAGGTAATAATGTCCTTGATACATATGGCCAAAGCAGATTATACTATTCCCAGGCAGCATAATAGTGCCATTTTCTGTATTTTATGTCTTGACTCTCCTATTTACTATACCTCCTTTTTAATGCCAAAGACTCAGCACTTTAAGCCAAAGGCTTAGCACTAGCTAACTACATGCCTGCTCCTGCCATCCCAGCACAAACAAATCTTCCCTTGGCTACAAGGGAGATTTGGGCTAAAAGCACCTAAGTGACTTAGAAGAACAAGTCCCATTTTGAAAGGAGATTTATGGTATGTCTACACTGCAGACAGACGCCCATGGCAGCTGACTCGGGGTTGTGGAGCTCAGGCTGCGGGGCTGTTTCATTGCAGTATAGACTTTTGGGTTCAGTCTGCAGCTTGGGCTCTAGGACCTTGTGAGATGGGAGGGTCCCAGAGCTCAAGTTGGAGCCCAAGTCCAGAAGTCTACACTGCAATGAAACAGCCATGAGCCCGAGGTTTTTTAATTGCAGTGTAGACATAAACCTAGGTATTGGGAGCCTAAATTACATTGATGTTAGGCTCCTTAGTGCCTAAATCACTGTTTCCTTTGTTAATGGGCTGCTAAGCCACTTGGGAACTTTTAAAAATGCAGCCCTTTGTCTGAAAGAGGGGTGGAGTCTCTGATCTTAAAGGGTATCCATAAGGGATCAGTGACTTGGTTCCGCTAAAATAAGCACTGGCTAGGAATCTCTGCTCAAAACTAAACTGTTCCTTTTTCACAGTTAAAAATGTTTGAGGGGTGTGTGTGTGTGCGTGCATGCCTCTCTACTCCTTCATTCCAGCCAGGTCTTGTGTACTGTAAGTCCCTACATGCTGTATACCATGCTGTGGCAACATAGCCAACACATGAAATTTCTACCTTGATTTCAAGATCTATGAAGTTGAGATAAATTGTGGATGAGCTTCAGTTACATGAGTGGCTGTTTTTACACTTATCTGACTTGGAGTGAGCCACCTCGCTTTGAAAACTGAAACTCCATTTCAAGGCCAATATAGCCTCTTCCCAAAAGGCTTAGTAGTGGTGATGCTGGCAAAGTCTTTTGGCTCTCCAATCTATTGCTTTCTTTTATTGATTAAGAAAATGGATTGTTATGAGGGATATGCATATATACTGTATACACGTGTGTGTGTGTATTTACCTATATATGTACATGAATATAGGTTCTTTCACAGAAATCTGATATGAAGACGTAATTAAAACAGCACAACAGTGTTTTTCTGAAGCTGAACTGCATTAAAGCAATCTTCATTTCATAATTTATTCTTGTTATTTGTAGCGGTTTAAACACTGGAAAGGAAAATATCTCTCAGCAGTGATAAAGCTTTCCAAATGTTTATTATCAACTCACAAAATACTTCTCATTCCTTTTTATGAAAGCTCTCTGCTAGATAGAATCCCCAGCACCCATCAGACAAAATACAATACTTAACCAGAGGCTTGAGATCACATGATAAAATGCCTGTCCTGGGAGTTTTATCTTTCAAAACTTAGAAATATTATTTTTATTGGCCTTCTTTCACTATCCCAAGGCTGCCTAATTCCTGTGTGTGTTGTACACTCTGTTCAGATGCCCTAAAAGAAGACCAAGCTGAGAACATTCATTTGGGAGCTTTGCCATTGACTTCTCTGAGAGCAGGAGCAGGGGTTTGATCAGAAAAATGCAAAGGAAACGCCTTATTTTGTGACAGAAAAAATAGTTACGCAAATACCTTCATTGCTATTCACAAAAGAGGGGGAAAGAGTATTGTTCACTCTGTCAGCTAGCTTTAGAATAATTAACACAAACAAAAGTTTGGAGATCAGAAAAAAAAATAGAACTCTCATGTTTGGGGGCGGATTACTCCTGAATGTATTGCTAATCTGGGTAATATGTTGTGATTTACTTTGGGGGCAAAAGGAATTAGGCTGAAGGAATTAAAGAGATTTGGCATGGATACCATAGTTGGTAGAGCTCCTAATGACATTACTTTAAAAAGGCTATCTTAATGCATAGCTTTACTTGAGTAAGTCCAGAGACTCTAATGAGCTCGTGAATTCTGTCTCCAGTAGAGTAAATGGTGCCAATTCGGAGTTGTGGGAATAACATTCACTGGACTCTGGCTAATTTAAATATTTTAGCTGTGCCCAAATTGGTATTTTGATTTTCACATTTCAGAAATCACAGGAAAACATTGTGGAACCTGAGTGGCTAGTCAGTTCTGTATTGGTGGTGATGCATAATTATTCCCAACAAAAATGAAACTAAATTTCCTGGATGAAGTTTTAATTTTCCTTTTTCAAAGGAAAGAGATTTTATGGAGGGTTTTTTTTTAAATGAATGTGGAGTTGAATGGAGAGTCTATTCCTTCTGTTCATATGATTTCAGATGCCTAAAGCCACAGGATATGAGGTGGGTTATTAGATATGCCTTTCCAAAGAGGAAATGGTAAGACAAAAAATGGCCTGCCTGAAGTTACAGTTTATAGATTAGAAAAAGGCACAAACAATTAAAACACGGAGACAGTTAGGGCAAATTACTTGCAATCAAGCTGCAGCTAAATGAGCTTCTTGATGAGGAAACCAAATTTATGTTGTTTAGAACCAGGAAGAAATGCTTTTTAAAAAAGTTGAAGGTGAGCAAAACGTTAGCATGATTGGATATAGATAGGTTGATGAGAGAAATTATAGATGCGATTAAACCTCTGGCCCTGCATTTTAAAAAATAATTAAGGACAGCATTCTTGTAAAATTCAATAGGTCCTTGCCTGGTATAAACTGGCACAGCTCCTTTCACGTCAATGGAGCTATATCAATTTACACCAGCTGAGGATTTGGCAACATATTTCTCTCTCTCTTTCTGCTTTTGTGTGGCTAGCAACCCCAATTATTAATTCTGACTTTAACAAAGCGAAATCTGGCAGTTTCAATCAAAACACACAATCTCCAAAAATCATTTGTTGAAAGAAAAGGGCATTTCTGGGAAGAGTGGAGGGGAACTCTTGCTATATTTAACACTATAATTAAATGTTTTGTTCCCTCCTCCCATAAAAATGTGAATTACCTTTTTGGCAGCTCTTTCAATAGATTTTGAAAAAGTATGTATATTCAGCAATGAAGGCAGAAAGTCACACAAAGCACTGAAGACATGTGAAAGCTTCAGTGTGAAACATCACATTTTCCTTTGTTGCCCTGTATACATTTTTGCATTCAGTGTAATATTCATCACGTTCACTGAATGCTGGGTATTGTCTACCTATATCGGTCTGAACGGATTGACTTTGAAGACTTTGTAATTTTGAAAAGGCATCAAGCAAAGCTATCCTTCATCCCCATTCTTGTTGCATTGGAATGTTAGGCATAACAAGGTAGACAAAAGCAAGGTATAATAGGGATTCTTATTGCCAGTCAGAAAGTACAAGTATATGTAGAAAGAGATAATATTCTTCTGACATTTTCCCTTATCTTGATTCCTCCTGTCCTTTCATGCATAAAGTTTTGCGTGAACAGAATCTGCAAAACAAAAATTAACAGCACACATCTGAAAGTGAAATGGACATAGAGGTAACTGATTTCTATGGGTCCCTCACGTGAGATAAAATAGTGAAGTGTATACATTTTGACAAAAGTTTCAAAGTGAGCATCCCAGCCATTTTTAGACCAGTAAATGAATCCTCAAAACTCCATTATGTTCTCTGCATTAAAGCAGTAAAGATTATCTATGTATTGTCTTTTAACAATCTTCATTACCTGACAAACATGCTTACTATTGAAAAGGGGACATTATGATACACTGGGCCAATTTATGAGGACGTTAGCGCTATGTGACATAGGAATAAATTCTTATCTATGTCCAAATGGCATATATTTTCTGTCAGTTTGACACCAGGCAAAATTCTCAACTTTGAAAATGCATGACAGATTTTGCAGACACACAATTCTCATTCTGTTGTGGAAACAGCAACATTCTGAGGGATGGACTGGTTAACCAATAGGTCTTTCCCATCAGCCCTGATTTGAATTTACATCCAATCTGATCTAGAGTTAGGTCTGAAAATCAGATCCTAATTTATTTAAAAGGGCAAGCCCTAGATACTAAAATGACTGGCCTGGTATAAATAATGGAGAGAGAAGAGTAAGCTGGACCAGGTAGAGCATTTTCTCCTTTTAGGGACTACCCTGGTGACAGTCTCAGAGCACGGCTGGTGGGAGGTCCCTGAAGAGAAAGAGTGGAGGTGGTTCCTTTGGAAGAGTGGAAGATACTGATGTCTGATTAATTGTATGCCTCAGGTCCCCTGAGTTTATAATCCGGAAGGTTTTTTACATCTTTCCAATCTTATAAATCTATTAAGCTTGTTTTAGTACATGGGGGGTTTATTGCATTGTTTACATGGCATACTAGTTGTTTTTTGGTTTTTTTGGTTTTTTGTAAGTGTGGCTAGGACTTCAGTCAGTACACTTAAATGTATAGTATTTACTTATGTTGCATGATACCCCCTTGTTCAAGATGTGGAGAGTGATGAGAAAAGGCTTAGGTTGTCTGGATGAATTAATTAATTCTACTGGCCCATAATCCTTTATTTATCCTTTTCAGTTTGGTGTGGGAATTACCAAGAGTTGAAAGATGTTGAGGGGAGATCTGCTTTTATTTTTCAGCAGCGTAATAAAGGCAGCATCAACTGTTTTGAAGGATTGTAGGCTAGGTGTGGGGTTAGAAACTAAACTCATTTTCATCATTTGCAACTAGAACATTATTTTAAATTTCCCAGAGACAAAGGATTGTATGGTTAGACAGTTAAATAATGTGGAGAGCCGAATGGCTCAGAACTGCTGGAGAGAACATTTGATTTCTCTTTTATATAGTGGTCTGCTGAGAAAATACAGGAGACTTTGGTTAACAGAACTGCTGGGAGATATTAGGAGTCAAATATGAACTTAACAGGAATGGCGTAATAGCTCTGGGAATGAGGATCGTATTTGTTCTAAATGGAGGGAACTACTAGACTTCCCCTAGAGAACATTTTGATAGCTTGGTCAAAATGCTCCCTTCCACTCCAAAGCAGGGAGTTAACCCATAGAAAGCCTTGACAAACACAGCAAGGGACGAAAGGAAAGGTGCACGGTAGTATCTATCCCTCACTATCCCTTCGCCTCCTGCTCCAGCAGCTTGCACTGTATAGCTGTCTCCAATGTGCCGCAAGAACAATGTGAACTCATGAACTGGGACGGGGGTAAACATCCAGAGGAGAGTAGTGTCAGGGAGCATCTGCTCTATATAATATTCTCCCACGGGGAAGAGGGCAAATGTATATAGCAAATTGCCATGTAACTTAATAGAGAGGGCATCTGCATTAACTATCGGTCAACAACTTCCCAAGAAAAAGAGGGGAAAGACAGGAGGAAAAAAACCAGATTGGGCAAGAAAGGGGGAGTGGGAGAGTCACCAGAAGTAATACTGTTTGTCATCCAGTCATGGTGCCAGTGTCCAAGTAGGAAAGAATAAGAAGAGCACCGAGAGCAACCAGGTCTGTCAGGATCCCTACATTCTGCCACTGGTGCAGTTTAAGGCACAGTCAAGTCTGAATTGCTTTACAAATTCTGAAGGCATTTTATTGTATTTTATTTTATTTTCAAAAATCAGGTAAACTGAGGCTTGCTAGAGGTATTTACCCCCTAGGCATGGATGTGAGTATTTGAGAGCATTAATTCTTGAAAACAGATCAGATTTCTTTAATTGTACTTTATCATCATCTCTTCTCTTGCTATTGTTGAAACTGCTTAATTGAACCTACTTGAATGTGGGCTTTACCCAAGCAGGTTTTTATTACAATAGTAGTAATAGGTTGCACTTCCTCAACAGCATCTTCCCTCTGAGGACTTCAGAGTGCTTGCAATGGGCACAGGGTGGATTAGACAACCCAATAAGCCTTTCCAGATTTTATTACTCCACTTCAGATTGTAGACTGGGCCTTAATAAATCTTAAATTGCTGAAATATTTACACAAAATAGAAAAGTGGCTTAATATGAATTGTTTTCATTGGGGGCTTGGAGAGCAAAATGCAAAATTTGAATCTGGATTTTGAATCCCCAAAGTACAGAGTTATTCAGACCTAGGGAGTTGTTCAGCTCATTGTAGGAAACAAGGCTCAGTTATAGCAATCAAGTTTTGATTTTGAACCCTTTACAAAGTCTGGTGATATTTGGATCCAGGGTTTTAATTGTGCTCCATATATTTAGTCCTGCTCTCTCAGGAAATGCTTCCTATTCTCTATCAGATTTTGCCAGGCTTTGCTAAACAAAAGTAATTCATTTTCTCCTTGGTGAAACCCTCGCTCACTTCATGGCATGCACCATTCTCTAACATCACTGATGCATTAATCCTCTGGAGGTGTACGCATGTGTGTGAGAGAGAACTTGTTCAAGTTGTGTGTGTGTGTGGCTTTGAGAGAGAGGCTTTGTTTTCAGGTGCTTTTGTACATGTGTGTACGTGCTCAGACGTGTGTGTGTGTGTGTGTGTGAGAGAGAGAGTGGTTTTGTCTCTATGTGTTTGTTAGCGAGACTTAGGTGTATGCACATGCCTGTATAGCAGGGGGAGGAAGTTTTATAAGTTGATCTTTATGATAAGGATGGCTAGTTGATATTTGTCCACCCAAAAAGTAAGTTTTCCTTTTAATTTTGCAAGGATGGTTTAGCTCTAGGAATGCTCAACAATACAAAAATAACATGGTTCTTTGCCCACAGAAGTTTATAGTCTAGAAGCCATATGCAGAAGAATGGGCAATCTATAGACTGGGGATGACTTAGTGGATTTTCTTTTGTAACATATATTTTGTTAATAAAGATAAGTTAAAACCAATGCTGCGCAGAAAAGTGCCCAGCCTGGTTATTGGAGGCATTCATCACATATTTCTGGTGTCATTTTTAGCTAAGCTTTGCAATTCACCTTTAAATATCGAACAGGCTAGATCAAGCCCACCAAACATTTTCATTCAGTATATGGTACCGTGTGCTGTATTACCAGCATTTGTTCAGTTCCCAATAACACTGGAGAAGAGAACAGGAAAATGTCACCTCTGATACAGTCTTCATATACAAGTGTTGATTTGCTAAATTGTAGTTTTATAACTTTTACATAGCTTACTTAAAGTAAATATTTTTGCGTGGAAGGAGGGAACCTTTATACCCATTAATTTATGTTAATAGGATATTTCGTGACATGAGCGATGTTTCACAGATCATTATAATTGAAGGTTTCCATTAAATGTATTTATACGTCAAGTAGAAGCTGAATATTTACTTCAGATGGTGTCTGCTCTAAAACACCATCAAGATCATTATATTTATACAACAATTTGAATCCTAACTCCGTCTTGGCAGAATTATAGCAAAGTGCTTTATGACAGCATCAGAGAGCCACCTCTCTGCTGCACCAAGTTGGTATTGCATCTGACAACGCGCAAGTTAATAGCCCCTTAAATCTGTGGTGTTTGCATTTCCACTGTGATAACCATAAAAGATGCCTCCAGATTTAAGATCAGAGTTAGGATTTACCAGCTAGAGCTCATTGTCTTAACATGTCTTCACCAGTTCTATTACATCAAATGTGTGGGCCAATAGATCAATCCCTAGAATCAGCAAGACACTGAAGAATGTGCCTAACTTTAAGCACATGAGTAATTCTGTTGAAGTCAATACAGTTACCCATGTGGTTGACTACCTTGCTGAACTGGGGTCCAGATTCCACAGATGTAGGCTGTTGCAACCACCCATAGGACAGCCTGGGGGTCTAGAAATAATTTAGCATACTTCTTTTTTAGCACAATGTCAATGACAACTAAATGCAACCATGTAATCTATTATTTACTATAGGAAATGACTTTTCAGCTTCATTTACTGAGTTTTATGTTTCTGATGATGATGATGTTTTGATGTTTTTTTTTGCCACTTGCTGAAGTGTCCCAGTTTGTTTGTGTCTATCCTCCTTACTAAATAAGGTTTTTTTCCCCAGATTGTTGTAGACTACCTTAATGGTTGTATCCATATGGCTGAGTATGGTAAGGCTGTGAGGTTGTTAGATCTCAACAGGTGGACACAGGTATTCCTCAGAAGGTGCTTATTTTTTTCACCTTGCTAGTTGCTAATATTGCAGGCTGATGTGTCCCTCATTACTATTTCAGAGGTTGCGCACAAGAAGTGTGAAAGCATATTGCAGAAAGAAGAAGAAACGACAAAACAAAAGACATGTGCGTTTTTAAAGGCAGTATTCCGCAATTTAAAGAATACCTTCAAAGAGCTGAAGGTTTGGCTGTGTATAGACAACAGATCTGCCAAGAAAATCTAACACTCTTCTGAAGGAAAGCTGTAGTAGATAGTGCAGGACAAAATGTCAGAATCTCTTAAGAATCCAGATGAACTCTGGTTATTATACCTATGCTCAAAACCATTTGTAAATAGACTTACTCAGGGATGAGCACCCTTGTAAGCTGAAATGTTGTAAATATGCTATTCTCTC